TGATAGAGGTCTATAAAATCTTAACTGGTGTGGAGAAATTGAAAAGCTCCCTCACATAACACAAGAACTAGGGGTCACTCAATGACATGAATAGGCAGCAGGTTTAAAACAAACAAAAGGAAGGACTTCGTCACACAACATACTGTCAACCTGTGGAACTTTTTGCCAGGGGCTCTTGTGAAGGCCAAAACTAGAACAGGATTCGAAAAAGAACTAGATGAGTTCATGGAGGATATGCCCATCAACGGCTATTAGCCAGGATGGGCAGGAATGCAACTCCATGCTCGGAGAGCCCCCAGTTTGCCCGAAGCTGGGAGTGGACAACAGGGGATGGATCACTCAATAATTGCCCCGTTCTGTTAATTCCCTTTGAAGCACCTGGCATTGGCCACTGTCAGAAGATAGAGTACTGAGGTGGATGGACCATTAGTCTGACCCAATATGGCCGTTCTTATGTAAAAATTAATTATAATATAATAAAAAGGTTTAGTACAGAAACTCCCAACACCAGCCAAAATTGATCACTTGGGCAACACAGCTCTGTCTGCTGGATACCTAGGCAGAGTAGGCGAGTTCATGTAAATACAATTGTGACGTTCCCCTCTGGTGTTATCTAGACCGGTGATCTGCTAGGTCACTCCAATCCTCGACTGATCCTGGGGGAGGCAGCCTTACTCTGCTCTGCTGTGAGAACCCCCACTCCTGGGCTATTCACGCACAGCCTCTGGCATGCAAGCTGCTCCTTGGATTGTGCAACCAAATGACACTAGCCAATATCTCCGATCCCAGACACAACCCTAGGAACCTCGGTCTTGCAGTGTCCAGTTATGCCCGCTGGACGCTGCAAACTTATATGAGTTCGTCAATTTAACAAAGAAATTGATATGTACCAGGCTTGTTATCCCAAGGGGAGTCTCTGACACGCTTCAAACCAAACACACTGCTTCAGGTAGAACAAACAATCAGATTTATTAACTACAAAGATAGATTAAGTGATTATAAGTCAAAGCACAACAAGTCAGATTTGGTCAAATGAAATAAATGCAAAACACATTCTAAGCTGATCTTAACACTTTCAATGCCCTTACAAACTTAGACGCTTCTCACCACTGGCTGGCTTGTTACCCTTCAGCCAGGCTCTCTCCTTTGATCAGCGCTTCAGTCGCTTGTGGTGAGGTCTGTAGATGGAGGTGGAAGAGAAAGGAAGAGCATGGCAAACGTCTCTCCCTTTTATCATGTTCTTTCTTCCCTCTTGGCTTTGTCCCCCTCCTCCTCCAGGATCAGGTGAGCATTACCTCATCGCAGTCCCAAACTGACCAAAGGAAGCAAGGTGACTCACTCGAGAGTCCAACAGATTCTTTGTTGTTGCCTAGGTCAGCATCCTTTGTTCCTGTGAGGCTGGGCTGGGTTGGGTTTGTCCCATACGTGCCCTGATGAGGTGTGAACTGCCCCTCTGCTCTTGGGTAGTTTTTGCCTGGGCTTGCTTTAAGCCGCGAGGACACATTTTCAGCCTCATAACTATACATATAAAATTACAACCTATATCATTACTATAACATTACCATAACAACAATGCTCAGTACATCACAAGCCTTCCGAAGACACCTGACATGACAAACTTTGCATTAGATACCACACAATCATATTATAAGGATGAACATGGGGGTGTAGGGTGTTCCCACAAGGTACAGAACATAACAACAATCTGGTCCTGAAGCCTTCCCCCCCAACCCTGGCTCATCATTAGCTGTCAGGGGAGAGCTCATTCAGACCTTGCTTACAAATCATAATTTTAAAATTATAAGGTTGGCCAACATTGCTGAAACCAATGCGCCAACATTGTCAGAAAAAAACAGCTGTGTGAAGAAGCTAGTCTTTGTTCATACTTTTCAAACCTATTATACTTTTTCAGGTACAAGTATTTTATCATACATTAAAAGCATATACAAAGTGTGTATTAATGTTTCAATTTCAATTCAAATTTCCAACCAATGACAAAATTGGCAACTATTGGCACAATTGGACTATAAGGTGGATAGAAAGCTGGCTAGATCGTCAGGCTCAACAGGTAGTGATCAACGGCTCCATGTCTAGTTGGCAGCCGGTATCAAGCGGAGTGCTCCAGGGGTCGGCCCTGGGGCCGGTTTTGTTCAACATCTTTATTAATGATCTGGATGATGGGATGGATTGCATCCTCAGCATGTTCGCAGATGACACTAAGCTGGGGGGAGAGGTAGATACGCTGGAGGGTCGGGATAGGGTCTAGAGTGACCTAGACAAATTGGAGGATTGGGCCCAAAGAAATCTGATGAGGTTTAACAAGGACAAATGCAGAGACCTGCACTTAGGACGGAAGAATCCCATGCACCGCTACAGGCTGGGGACCGACTGGCTAAGCAGCAGTTCTGCAGAAAAGGACCTGGGGATTACAGTGGACGAGAAGCTGGATATGAGTCGCAGTGTGCCCTCATTGCCAAGAAGGCTAACGGCATATTGGCCTGCATTAGTAGGAGCATCGCCACCAGATCGAGGGAATTGGTTATTCCCCTGTATTCGGCACTGATGAGACCAAATCTGCATCCAGTTTTGGACCCCTCACTACAGAAAGGATGTGGACAAATTGGAGAGAGTTCAGCAGAGGGCAACGAAAATGATTTGGGGGCTGGGGCAGGGGCAGATTTACCATGAGACACACAGGGGGCCCCAGAGCCAGGCACTCGGGCAGCTCAGCACCGGCACACCCCCTGCGGGGGGGGGGGGGGGGCCCGGGAGAGGGGGGGGGGGGGGAGAAGCTGTGGAGAGCAGGGAGGGAGGCTCACCCGCAGGGGAGCAGGTGGGAGGTGCGGGTGGCGAGAGCGCTGTGAACGCGGCCAGAGGACTCAGGAGGACTCAGGGCAGCCACGCAGCCGGCCGGAGAGAAGTGGCGCTTTGAAGGGGAAACTGCCGCTTCTCTCTGGCTGCGTGGCTGCCCCTGCTCCTCCTGAGTCCTGCAGCCCCTGCTCCCAAGGCTGGATTCAGAAAGGGGGCGGGGCTTTAGGGGCTGCAGCCCAGGTCTCCGGGGCCCACTTAGCCCTGGGCTGCAGCCCCTAAAGCCCTTGCGTTCCGGCCCTGCCTGGCGGGCGGAAGGGGGGTAGGGGAGGCGGCTCCAAGAATTGCGACCAATGGGAGCTGCGGGGGGTGATGCCTGCAGGGCAAGCACAGGGCCACGAGGAGCCACCTGAACTCCCCGCACCTGCATCCCCCGCACCAAATGGGAGCTGCTCCAGGTAAGCACTCCGCACCCCAACCCCCTGCCCCAGCCCTGAGCCCTGTCCCGCACCCTAATTCCTGGTCAGACCCTCCCCATCCCTAGCCTGTTCCTGCACCTTAACTCCCACCCAGACCCTGCACCCCCACCCCACTCCCACACCCTAACTCCCTCCAAGACCCTGCACCCCCAGCCCTGAGCCCCAGGAGGAGAATGCAGAAAAAAAATGAAAAACAGGGGGGAGGGAGATGAGAGAATGCCCCCCCCGTCGGGGGGGGGGGCAAAATGAAGCTGAGCACAGGGCCCCACTAACTCTAAATCCACTACTGGGCTGGGGCACATGATTTATGAGGGGAGGCTGAAGGAACTGGGCTTATTTAGTCTGCAGAAGAGTGAGGTGGGATTTGATAGCAGCCTTCAACTACCTGAAGGGGGGTTCCAAAGAGGATGGAGCTCGGCTGTTCTCAGTGGTGGCAGATGACAGAACAAGCAGCAATGGTCTCAAGTTGCAGTGGGGGAGGTCTAGGTTGGATATTAGCAAACACTATTTCACTAGGAGGGTGGTGAAGCGCTGGAATGGGTTACCTAGGGAGGTGGTGGAATCTCCATCCTTAGAGGTTTTTAAGGCCCGGCTTGACAAAGCCCTGGCTGGGATGGTTTAATGGGTGTTGGTCCTGCTCCGAGCAGGGGGCTGGACTAGAACCTCCTGAGGTCTCTTCCTCCCCTAATCTTCTTTGAACACTGTTGTAACTAGTTGACCACTGGGGGGGGTGGGGGGGTGTAGGGAAGACCCAGGTTCACCGAATTAAGTCTCCTGCTGCAGCACCTCAGTAGGTTACATCAAAGAGGAGCTGCAGTGACTACGCAGTCGGATGCCTGTGCCTTTAAGAGCCCAGCCCTGGGAAGCCCAGTCTGTAGGAGGGGAAATAAAAAAGCCCCTCTGCTCCCCCACCCTATTTTTTTGCAAACACGGGTGTTTCAGTCCACTGGGGTAACTGCTACCCCCTCTGCCCCTGCCAGGGTCTGTCCTCTGGCCCCTCTGCCAGCGCCTCACCCCTGGGCTTAACTCCACCTCCTCATCCCTGATTTTCCCTTTAGCCCCTCTCCTAACCCTGCCTCCAGCGGCTTGACCCCCCCCCGACCAGTCAATTTCCACCCCCTGCTCAGACCCTGGCCACCCCCCCCTCCGATTTGCCCCTTTTTAACCCCTGTAAAAAGCAGTCCACATAATCTTACTGCTAATTAGAGCAGGGCGAAGGGCAGTGGCTTCAGTAGATGTTACTGAGCATGCTCAGTACATCCTAAGTAGCATAGTCCTACCTAGAGCAGGTTTCAGAGGGGTAGCCATGTTAGTCTGTATCCGCAAAAACAAGGAGGAGTCCTTGGGGCACCTCTTAGAGACTAACACATTTATTTGGGCATAAGCTTTCGTGGGCTAAACCCCACTTCCTCAGATGCATGCCGTGGAAAATACTACCTGGAGCAGTTCCCTGCACCACATCCAATTCCCTGCAAAACACAACAGTCATGGCTGCAGACACCCCCGCACTGCTCCACAGTTCAATGCAACTGCAGTGTGGGTCGCTGAGCACCCCCCAAGCAGGCAGGCTCAGCTCCTGAGCTCAGCGGGAGAGATGCAACCCCCTCCTCCCTCCCCCCCCCCAAGGCAGCAGAGGGGAAGCAGCCCCCCCTAAGCGCAGTGCAGCAAAATGGGGTGTCTCCCCCCTCCAGGAACCTACTGCAACACACTCACCAGCGCTGGTGGGAAAGGAGCCTTTGCAGGAGCAGCGAGGCAAATAAACCATCTGCAAGTCAGCTGAGCCAGGAGCCGAAGAAAAGCAACCCCCTTTATCCTAGGATGCAAACAACTCCCCTCCCCCCAGCCCCGCCTCCCCATCTCCCTCCCCCTCTCCTTTGCTAAGCCCCAGTCAACTCCCTCCAGAGCGACTGAGGTCCACACGACACATCTCCGTGCATCCTCCATTCCCCTGCCCCCAGCATCCCTCTTGCACAGACCCCCCACCCCCTGCAACTGCCCCTCCCTCCCTCATGCCAGGGGCTCTGTGTGCCCCCCAGATCCTTCATGTCCCCTAGATCAGGGTCTCCCATTCTCCCCCCAGCCCAGGGGCGTTGTCTGCCACTCTCACAATCCCCCTGAATTGCAGGTTTCAGAGCGGTAGCCGTGTTAGTCCGTGTCAGCAAAAGCAACGAGGAGTTCTTGAGGCACCTCTTAGAGACTAACACATTTATTTGGTCATAAGCTTTCGTGGGCTAAACCCCACTTCATCATGCTCTAAGGTGCCAAAAGGACTCCTCGTTGTTTTTGCTGTATTGCAGGGACTCCCTGCCCCCAACTCCAATGATAGCAGCTCTATGTCACCCCCCCTCCCATTGCCAGGGTCTCTGTTCACCCCCATTCCTACCCCCATCTGTGTGCCTGTCCACAGAGCCCACAGGGGCTCTGTGTGTCCCCCATGTTCCCCTCCTCCATACCACTCTCTCCCCTTCTCACTATCATGGCAGGTGCCCTGAGTGCAGTCCATTCCTCCTTCCCCTACAGGGCAGGTCCTCTGTGCATCCCCCGCCCCCCACCAGCTTTCCCCTCACGGTTGCAAAGATCAGCTTCCAAAAAGGCCCCCAGCAGACACAGTGAGGGCTGCCTGAGTTTGCAGAGAGCCTGCTCCAGAAGGCTGCTGGCGGCTCATAACAGCAGGCACCTGAGCACCGCTGTTAGGAGTACGATGTTCTGGGGAAGCCCCTCAAAACAATCCAGCACAGGGCTCTTCTGGGATGCTAGCAGCTGGTCCCCCTGTCCTTATACAGAGCCCTCTGCAGGGGTTTAAAAAAACACCCCTCCTCCCCCTTGATGGCGTCATGCATGTGGAAGACCAATTGTAGGAGGAGTGGGGGTGGGCAGGGTTCCCACTGCCCCTGGTCTTCGCTCTGATCAGGGTCTCCCTGCCCACTGCACCCTGTTTTTGAGCGGGCTGGGTCTGGTGCAGAAGGTGAGGAACACTACTCCAGCAGGCAGCTCTGTGATGGGGAATGACCCACCATGCCAACAGGGGCCCATAGAAAACTCACTAGAGGGGACACAGTTCATCGCTGATGTAGGTCGAGCTGTACTGCAAGTGAGAGAGTGCGGCATGATAAGTGTCTGCCTGTGATATGTATAGGCAGCAGCCTGTCGCACCGAAAAGGGCCCTCGGTGGGCCTCAGTTTCCTCCGACTTACACCAGTAGAAATCAGGTTTTTCTGGTTTCCCCCTCAGATCAGTAGGGTTCTATCTATAGGGTTCCCCTTATCAGAGTATCTGAACACCTCGCAATCTTAATAATAATAATAATAATACCTAGCTTGTACCTGGCGCTTTTCATAAAATAGATCTCCTAGCATGTTACAAAGGAGGGCAGAATCATTAGTGCCATTTCACAGATGGGGAAACTGAGGAACGGGGAAAGCAATTTACCCACGCTCACCCAGCAGCAGAGTTTGGAATAGAACTCAGCTCTTTGGAGTCCTAATCTCCTGCCTCGCCCACACTGCTTTGCCTCACAATACCCCTCTGGGCAGTAAGGCAGGACTATTTATCCTTGTTTTACAGATGGAGAACTGGGATAGTCCCTGAAACTGTCTGGTTGAGGCACTGGGATGCAGGCACAAGCACAATGATTTCTGTGTTACCTCTTCCTGTTTTACAAGCTTTCGAGGCACACAGAGCTCTCCTTCGGGGCTGGGTAAGGTGCTCCTGGTGTCACAGAGATCTCAGAGCCCTGCATTTTGCTGTGACACTGGGAGAACCTTCACCCCCAACTAAAACCTCTCCAGCACATCATCAAGGATCTACAACCTATCCTAAAGGACAATCCCTCTCTCTCACAGACCTTGGGAGACAGGCCAGGCCTCGCTTACAGACAGCCCCCCAACCTGAAGCAAATACTCACCAGCACCTACACACCACACAACAAAAACACTAACCCAGGAACCTATCCTTGCAACAAAGCCCGTTGCCAACTCTGTCCACATATCTATTCAAGGGACACCATCATAGGACCTAATCACATCAGCCACGCCATCAGGGGCTTGTTCACCTGCACATCTACCAATGTGATATATGCCATCATGTGCCAGCAGTGCCCCTCTGCCATGTAGATTGGCCAAACCGGACAGTCTCTATGCAAAAGAATAAATGGACACAAATCAGACGTCAAGAATTATAACATTAAAAAACCAGTCGGAGAACACTTCAACCTCCCTGGTCACTCAATTACAGATCTCAAAGTCGCAATACTCCAACAAAAAAACTTCAAAAACAGACTCCAACGAGAAACTGCGGAATTGGAATTAATCTGCAAACTGGACACCATTAAATTAGGCTTGAATAAAGACTGGGAACGGATAGCTCATTATACAAAGTAAAAACTGTTTCCCCCTGCTAATTTCCCCCCCTACTGTTACTCACACCTTCAGTCAACTGTTGGAAGTGGGCCATCCTGATTATCACTACAAGCGTTTTTTTTCCCTCCTGCTGAAAATAGCTCACCGTAATTAATTACCCTCGTTACAGTTGGTATGGCAACACCCATTTTTCATGTCCTCTGTGTATATATATCTTCCTACTGTATTTTCCACTGCATGCATCCGATGAAGTGGGTTTTAGCCCACGAAAGCTTATGCTCAAATAAATTTATTAGTCTCTAAGGTGCCACAAGTACTCCTGTTCTTTTTGCTG